GTAGAATGAGCCTTAACCATCCATCCTGTAAATAAAGGACAGAAAAATTTGTCTGCAAATGGTGAGGCTGAATGACTGAGAATATTTAATAATAATAATAATAATAATAATAATAATAATAATAAAAAATCCTATGAATTATGACTCTGGCCATTTCCCCCATATATAAGGGCGTGGCATTGTTCCGCGAATAGCCAGAGGGATATTAGCCCTTTCCTGTACATAAAGGAAGCAGTCCTTTGCTTGGGCTGCAATTGCTAGCTTTGGTGAATACTTGAATTGCTGAGTTTCTCCTTTTTGTTTTAAAATCTAACCCTATTTTTAAAATCTACTCCTTACCCTTCCCTTCCCTTATTCAAATTCTAATTTAGCCAAAAGATGCAACATTTTCAATAGTATAAAAGGTTTGCTGAGACATGAACTCTGCACATGCACAGAGGCTAGATCAGCTTAAAAGAGAGAGAGAGAGGAAGGAGGGGGGAGAGGAGGTTTGGAGAGTGTGCTGCGGGAAGAAACCTATTCAAATTTCCTTGTGTGGAACTTGGAACCATTGGGGGAGATCATCCTTGATGTGTCTTTTGCTCCAGGGGCTAATTAAGACAAAGGGGTTGGGTACTGGACCATCAAGGGTCAAGAGGTTGCCAGATTTCAGGTCTTGACATGCCGATTTCTTTTCACAGGTAAATATCAAAGCACTCCCACTGTGAGTTCCTCTCTTGAGTAGTTTGCCTCCCCAATGGGATTTAAATTTTATAACAGTTGTGTGTGTGTGTGTGTGTGTGTGTGTGTGTGTGTGTTTTACTTTGGGGACATGTCCATCACATGTTGAAAGTCATTTTCATCAAGTTCTACTTATCAGATAGCACATGCTGAATTTTAAGCCTTTTTGATAATACCTTTGTATTTAATAATAATTATTTTCTGAATCTGATGTCTTTGTGTCAAGTACATTTTCATCTGAATGGTAATCTAATTTTTTGCTTTCTTTTTATTTTTTAAACTTTCTTGTATTTTTTTTACAGTTCTCTTTCTCTACACGTGGAGTAATTTTTTATTTAATAATATGGAAAAAAAATAAATGAAGGAAAGCAAACAAACTTAGAAGGTAATAACAGTAATTATATGGAAATGTGATAATAATATTAAAATGAGTAAAATGCTTAACATGCTAAGATTTTATTATTTGCAGCTAATAACTCAAGATTTTCTTGGGGAGGGGGCTTTTGCCCCTTCTTTTTTCTAACTCTTGTCTTTTAAGTCCCTAAAAACCCTGCCCCCTTACAGGATGTCACTTCTACAGATGTGTTACTACAGACCTATGATGAAAAAGCTTCGCCACCGGCTGCAACAACAGACACCAAAGTTTTCAAAGTGCCCACAGCTATCTCTTTCAAAGGATATAGACTGACGGGGGAGTGGGGCTGACAAAGGGGGGAGGAGTTGAATTGCAAGGACATTTTCTCACTTGAACCTTAAGACTGTGCTCCAGGATTGAGAAGATCACAATTGTCTCAAGATATGCAACTGATATTTTATTAGTTTGTTTTGTATTATGTGTTATTACGTAAGGATGTTGAAATGTGTCTGACAGTGTGTTATTTCCACAAAGGGGGGGGGGGCTATTTTTGTGTGTAATTGTTTTTATGTTTAATGTCTTATTCCTTACACCCCAGTGGAGGATTCTCATACATTTTATACTTTCTAATAGCTCACACTATTGTGTAGTCCAATGTTTAGATCAATTTATAACCACATTTCATTGTTCCACCTGGCACTATGCCAACCTTCCCTACCCATTTTAAAAAAATGTGCCAAAACTTGCTTTACCAAGGAGAAGCTTCTAAGAAACATGAAGGTGGATATGCTTTGGTTTAGCAGGAATGATCCCTTATAGACTTAAATTGACTTATTTGGACAACTGCCCTTGTTAAGAATGGTTTTCTTTTAACAGATTGGGTTGAAGAGTTGAGAACCATGGGGCAAGATAAATTCAAATTGGACTCAGTTTGAATTGGGCAAGTGTATCCAGGCTGCAATTAGCTTTTTGGTCTTTTAAGTGCAAGTGAGCAACTTCCCATGCGTGCGAGACCACAGCCTATAATAAAATCCCATAGCTAAAGGCCAAGGCGAAGACCTCTCCCTCACGAGATGTCCAAACCTGTGCCAGCTATGGTGAATGCTAGGCAACATGGTTAATTGAAAGCCCTGAGGGGATTCAACAGACAGGATGTGTTGCTGTAGCACTATGTCAGTGTGAGACCACAGAAGAGCTAGCTTGACACCTGAGAAACACACAAAAATGGCGAAGGGCAAAACACCAACTGCATTTTTCAGTCATTAGTGGACCTTCCTTCTAAGTGTAAAGCATAGACCACTAGTGAGTAAATGGTCTCTCCCAAAGTGTTAGAATGCCACAAGTAATTTAGTAGCAAAACGCAACATGTGTTATTTTTATATGATATATTTATACAAAGACATCCATTTACAACATATGATGTTATTATTTGTGGGGCAAAATTTTTTAAGAAAAATTCTAGCCCCAAAGGGGGGAATATTGTGATAGGAATTTTATGGTCTTAGATATATAGTAATGTTCATAACTGCACATACATAGATCAACACAGGAAAGCCAACCTGGAACCATTTTGACTCCTAAACTGAGCAAATGTTTCTCTGCATGGTAAAAATGGAAAAGCCTCCCCATTGTCTCTTTCCTCACAAATCCTGTCTCAAAGATATGTCTGTTTGAATAAGGTGTGAGCCTGTGACCTGGCCCAGGAAATAAGTATTTTACCACTACAAAAGAATGGCCAGGCTCCCCAGGAAATCCAATCAAGTAACCTGCTAGACAGGAGATAAACTGTGACAGGAGAAAAACAATATTTAAATTTCTGTGATGTAGGGGGATGTATCTGAGGGGTGGTCTTAGGTTACACCCCTTCTGTGATGTATGCATAATGTTTCTGGGGGTGGTCTTGATCTAGAGAATGGGAATTTCAAAAGTCTTTATAAGGCCTTGCACACCATTGTTCTGGGTCCTCTTCCTCTCCTGCGTGTGAGGGGAGTACCCTGTTGCAACAGATCAATAAAGATCAAGCTTACTAGCTGCTTTGCTTCTCAATATTCTCTGGTTGGCCTCTGTTATTTTCTCCTACCAATAGGGAACCTATGTAAGGACTCTATATGGGCTCTTGGATACCCCATAAGGGAAAAGGGCATATTTTTATTTACAACAGAACCAAAGACATTTTTTTAAAAAAGATAAAGTTATTTACACAGTAAAAGTACTCATCGACACAATCTTTCCCATCCTTCTCATTATACTGTTTGATATAACATTCTTTTTTACATTTTTACACAGGTTTACACTCTATAATATCATTTCTTTCTGCTTTGTATACATTCCTTTGATCTTTTTCTTTACAAAGATCACTCAATTTCTGCTAATATGGAGTTATTTGTACAATGAAGTTTTACATAATTCTTAAATATTATCCATTCTCTAGTTATTTTTTGTTTCAATATTCCTCTAACTGATCCCATCAGTTTTGCTAATTGTAGATATTCTAACATGAGTATCTGCTAATCTGTAATCTCTGGGAGCATTTCATTTTTCCAGTTCCTTGCTATAAGGGTTCTAGATGTTGTTATACCATACGTCAGTGTTTCCCAACCTTTTTTGGGCAAAGGCACACTTGTTTGATGAAAAAAATCTCGAGGCACACCACCATTACAGCCCCGTGACGTCAGCGCGCAGCGTCACTTGAGCTCCTTCTCCTGCTCGTTCAGGGCCGGGTCGCCGCCGTGAGGGAAGGGCGCCGGGGCGCTGCTGCTGCTGCCGCCGCCGCTCCCAGCAGGCATGGGCCCAGCTGAGGCGGCGGCGGCTGCTGTGGTGGTGGCGGCGATAGCGGGCGGAGGAGTATGGCTGGAATATGCACTATGGCAGGGGTTGGCAAGGTTTACCTAGCCTGGGCCGGTTCACTCCAGCGGAGATCCCTTCGTGGGCCGGATCGCCCGCGCACTCGCATTTTTCGGCATCTGTGCAGACGTGATTTTCGGCACTGTGGAAGCGAGTCCCCATGCCATGCTGGTTTAGTACAGCATGCCAGGACTCGCCGAGTGGGCAGCTCGGTTCAGGGGCAGCTCATGGCAGGTTAAATGACCCCCGTGGGCCTTAGGTTTCCAACCCCTGCACTATGGCAACAGAATTTTATATTTTAGTCCCTTTCCTAATAATGTCCAACAGCCTACCTTTTTTCACTGCTTCCTCTGTTACAGTGAGCCGTCCACCACTACCACAAACCTCTTATAGCAGTCAGTCACAACCAATTAAGATCCCAACCATCAACTTTTATCTCTTCTTTCTTTCTTTTGCCTTGGTGTGCATGATTTTACACTTACATTGAAACTCATTTGCCATCTTAGAAAAGACCCTGATGTTGGGAAAGATGGAGGGCACAAGGAGAAGGGGACAACAGACAGTGTTCTCGAAGCCACCAGCATGAGTTTGACCAAACTGCGGGAGGCAGTGGAAGACAGGAATGCCTGGCGTGATCTGGTCCAGGGGGTCACAAAGAGTCGGACACGACCAAATGACTAAACAACAACAACACACAGGTCCACCACATATGATAGTATGACCCCTCCTCTTTTTTACATCTCCAACAGGTTGATGTTTTCCCTTTAAACATTTTAGCAAGCTTTTTGGGGGTAAGATGCCATCTATATACCATTTTCATGGTATTTTCCCTGAGATTATAGCATGCTGTGAATGTAATGTCTGTCGTTCGATGGACGTGTTTAGGCACTGTTGAGTGTTCTCTTATCAGACATTTTTAAAGGGCTGAGTCAACCTGCTACTTTCAAAAGCTGAGTTTGGGCCAAACTGGCTTTCCCCCATGGATTTGGAGCCGTGACACATGTCCAAGCTACAACAGCAATAGTAATAAAAACTCGAGAATGAATGATACAAGACTAAGTGCCTGCCAACACACACTTACTTTTCCAAAGGGTCGGTCATTTTTGCCACGTTCCTGTGAAACCGTAAGGCTTGGATGTCTTGCGTCTCAAACTTTGGAGGTAGAAGTCCCTGGAGGCCAAGCATTTGACGTTCTTTTAACGTGAAAGCCATGCCCTGGAGACAAAGAGGAACAAGAGAAGTCAGACGCTGTTCAGCCTGGGAAAGAGGAGACTGAGAGGAGATATGATAGACATCTCCAAATATCTCAAGGGCTGTCACACGGAGGAGGGAAAAAGCTTGTTTTCTCCTGTCCTGGAGGGCAGGATTCGAACCAATGGATTCAAGTTACAAGAAAGGACATTCCGACTCAACATCAGGAAGAGATGTTCTGCAATGGAAAGGACTCCCTTGAAAGGTGTGGTGGACTCTCCTTCCTAGGAGGTTTTTAAGCAGAAGTTCAATGGACATCTGCCAGGGATGGAGCCAATGCAACTTGTTTCTCATTTGGCGTGCTAGCAGTAGAGGAACTCTCTTCGCCACCAGCACATAGCTGTCAACTTACAGATTTGAAAATAAGGGACCAGCAGCCTCGAAAATAAGGGATCAGCAGCCAAAATAAGGGATTTTTCAGAGCACAGGTATGTTCAACTTCTGAGCCCCTCCAAGCCAAAAGGGAGAAAGCCCAGCCAGCATCCAAACGAAGCCTCAAGCGGTGGTTCCCACAGCACAGCAACCTGGCAAAGGGGATGCAGCAAGGGAAACCACCGTCACCTCTCCGCTGGGAAGTGCTGAGCAAAGGTGAGTCCCAAGCAACACGGCCGATTTGATTGGCACAAGACATGCAAGCTCCACCCCCCAGTCGTTCTTAGACTCCTTATTGGGTGAGCAATGCAGCCAAGCAACACAGTTGGAGCCTCCCTCCTCCCTGGCCGGCAGGGAGGGAGGGAGAGGAGCTGCTTCCTTTGAAACCTGGAAAATTTAAGGGACACCATCAATAAGGGACAGCAGCGGGACACCGCGCTGGGATAAGGGAGTTTCCCGCCAAATAAGGGACGGTTGACAGCTATGCACCAGCACCCGCCAAGGGAACTGAGGTGGTTTCACCCTGCGCCTTGCAGGGCCATGGCCAATGAAGCACACTCCTCCCTCTGCTTTTCAACACTGCAATGTGTTGGCTGAGGATACATATTGCGATGTTTGGCTGGCAATACATCGTGATGTTGAAAGGCTGAACTCGCCTAGCGCTAGTCCAGGATTCTATTTAGTCCAAGAGACCACAAGCAGGACATGAGCAAAACAGGCCCCTCTCACTCTTGTTTCCTAGCAACCAGTATCCCCAGCCCAACTCTTAAGATTTGCTTCTGTGGGTTAAACCACAGAGCCTAGGACTTGCCAATCCGAAGGTCAGCAGTTTGAATCCCCGCGACGGGGTGAGCTCCCGTTGCTCAGTCCCTGCTCCTGCCAACCTAGCAGTTCAAAAGCACATCAAAGTGCAAGTAGATAAATAGGTACCGCTCCAGCGGGAAGGTAAACGGCGTTTCCATGTGCTGCTCTGATTCGCCAGAAGCGGCTTAGTCCTGCTGGCCACATGACCCGGAAGCTGTGTGCCGGCTCCCTCGGCCAATAAAGCGATATGAGTGCCACAACCCCAGAGTCGGTCACGACTGGAGCTAATGGTCAGGGGTCCCTTTACCTTTACCTTAAGAATGCTAAGGAAAATAAAAACAAGCACCCCTGTTCTAGTTACCAACACTAATCTAATTCAACAAGCCAAAACAATTCTTGGCAATTCTCAGTATCTTCTAGTTGGGTTTTATTTTTTTTTTAGCAAAGCTGAATCTCAGTGAGCCTGACATCTTATTGAGCTAACAGGGCCCATAGTTTCCTCAATTTTAATCTGCCAGGGATGAGGAGGCTTGGAGAGTAATGAAGGATATTGTTTTTTGAAGGAAAGTCGGGGTCACTAATCTCAGAAGGCATCTTGTTCCGTCTCTTCAGAGGTTTGAACAGAGGCCCTCCTTTTTCAGAAGACTGAGCTTCAATATGGCCTACTTAGGGCTTACCCAGATGCTCAGCAAACATCTGTTTAAGAAATAATAAATATTAAAACATTATTGTTAAAATGGGCAAGGGTTCTTTTTTTGGAGGAGGGGGCAGAAGAGAACCAGGCAGCCATTATTTAGCACTTTTATTTTTCCAGAGCCCATTCCCTCTCAGCAACCCCAGCTACCCCTTTTGACATCTATCTGTCTCGACTTCATTCTTAATCCTCTTATGACTCAGCCTCAATAAAAACTGCCGGATTGAACAATAAACCCAGCAGTGACCTCGGGGTTCATCACTCCTATCATTTTGTCACACAGAATTGCTTCTTAATTTTCCTGTCAACAGAATCCTAACTCTTTTTTTGGCGTGGGGGAAGAGATCAGTCTGTCAAGAGTTCCATGTTGCCCTACCTCCCCTGTGACCCTCCTAATGTCATTGGATTCCAACTCCCATGAGCCTCAGCGAGCACAGCCAATGGTCAAGGATGATGGGAGCTGCAGTCCCAATGACATCTCGAGCAACCTTTTCAGAAGTGAGAGCCACCTTTAGATCAAACATGCATTTGGTGATCCACTGTCAAACGACCACCATATACTTGAACCATTGTAGTGTTGCGGCTGTGACCCTTTGTGGGGCAGGCTATAGGTTGGAGACCAGCTAATTAGAGGGCCACAAGTTTTGTGGTAAGACACTTTGGAAAGGGGACAGCAGGTCAGTTGGGGCAACCGACACCCAAACCTATTGCCGTACCCATCACCCCCTTCTTGGCTCTGGGCTGGCAATAAGGCAGCCAGGTGACATTCTTCTGAAGGTCGAATTTAGCCAAGAACCACTGAGTTTTCAAGGAAATGAGCCCCGTATTTAGCAGGCACCCAGCACCCGCCCCACTTCTTGTTACTTTCCATTCACTAGTTAGGAACTTTGCAGTAGACCAAAAGTATGTGGAGAGCGTTGTTGAGAAAAGGCCTGCTTTAAAAGTTAGGTAAAGGTAAAGGGACCCCTGACCATTAGGTCCAGTCGTGTCCGACTCTGGGGTTGTGGTGCTCATCTCGCTTTATTGGCCAAGGGAGCCGGCGTACAGCTTCTGGGTCATGTGGCCAGCATGACTAAGCCGCTTCTGGCGAACCAGAGCAGTGCACAGAAATGCCGTTTACCTTCCTGCTGGAGTGGTACCTATTTATCTACTTGCACTTTGACGTGCTTTTGAACTGCTAGGTTGGCAGGAGCAGGGACCGAGCAACGGGAGCTCACCCCGTCATGGGGATTCGAACCACCAACCTTCTGAACCCCTAGGCTCTGGGGTTTAACCCACAGTGCCACCCACGTCCCTGGTGCTTTAAAAGTTACTTACCTTAAATAACCCAATTCCCTCTCTCCTGGTAAATGCTAATCTTAAACCATATGGAATGAACCTCTTCTCTGATACAAACTTTTCCTCTTCTCTACCCTTTCTCTCAAGATTCATTCTCATAATTCCCACAGCTTCTTCTTCTCGTCTCAATTCTCCCTGTGCCATTCCTTGTCACCAGATTCCTTTATCCTCTGGCTGACCAGATCCCTGTGCTTTCCCTACCAGCCCTGCACCCGCCATGTGAAAAGTTTTGATCCCAGCCACACTGACAATGTCTCCTTCCCTTATGGAAAAAGGACTGCAAACTGCTGTGTTTCCCGATCAGCTAAGTATTCCATGACACTGCACCAACACAAGCACAATGCACTATCACCACCAGTATTATACAGTAGTACCTCGGGTTAAGTACTTAATTCGTTCCGGAGGTCTGTTCTTAACCTGAAACTGTTCTTAACCTGAAGCACCACTTTAGCTAATGGGGCCTCCTGCTGCCGCACTATTTCTGGGTTAGCGGAGTCTGTAACCTGAACCTGAAGCGTATGTAACCTGAAGCGTATGTAACCTGAGGTACCACTGTACTGGTATACAGATGTACCTGGGAAGTCAAATGGAAGTCCGTTCGACTTCTGAAAAGTTTGGAAACCAAGGTGCAGCTTACAATTGGTTCCGAATTGCGCAGACGCACCGGAAACAATAGCGGAAGCCATGGCAGACATTCGGCTTCCAAAAAAAAAAGTTCAAAAAATGGAACACTCACTTCCGATTTTTGATCATTTGGGAGCCAGAACTTCCGACTCCCAAAGCGTTCAGGAGCCATGGTACGACTGTACAGTGGTACCTCGGGTTACATACGCTTCAGGTTACATACGCTTCAGGTTACGGACTCCACTAATCCAGAAATAGTGCTTCAGGTTAAGCACTTTGCTTCAGGATGAGAAGAGAAATTGTGCTCCAGCGGCAAGGCAGCAGCAGGAGGCCCCATTAGCTAAAGTGGTGCTTCAGGTTAAGAACAGGTTCAGGTTAAGTACGGACCTCCGGAACGAATTAAGTACTTAACCTGAGGTACCACTGTAATCATATTACAAGAGGAGGATTTGTTGTGATTCTCTACGTTGTCGCCCTTCCATTCAAACTAATAAGGATATGCAAAAGTTAGATGTGGTCATTCAGGCTTTGCTTAAAGTAAGGCTTCTGTCTCATTTACAACACAATCTGAACCACACTGACTCAGAAGGGAATCCTATTGAATTCAATGGAGTTTACTCCCAGGTAAGTGTGGTTAAGAACTGCAGCAGCCTTAGTCTTTTCTTTTGAGGCTACGAGTCTCAGCACAACAACCCCCACCCCCCACCCCCTGCAGACGTTTTTAGCTCTGGGTAAGATCCACAGCACAGATAGCAATTCAAGAACAGACGTGAAAGACATTCCATGCGACCGACCTTATTTGTTCTCGGGTTCAGCATCAAGACCTTGCCTTTTTCTTTTGTATGTACTCTGCGACAGGCCAACACGCAGGGAGCGGAAGCTATTCTTAATCGGGAGAACATTCTGTATGGTTTGCCTGGAGAAAGAAAACATTACGTTACACGTTACAAAGAGGGCAGTCTTGTTTCACGCTGGCAACACACAGAGGTACAAGCAAACCCTTTATGGATAGTTAAGCTTTTCTCATGCTGGCTAGATAACACCTATAGCCTTTCAAAACAGCAACAACTCCGTCTACAAGCAAGGCAGGGACACCATTTGGAGGAATGAAAAAGAGCTAAGAGAAGGGGGTGGAAAGGAACAGCTTTACCCCTGGCACTTTGTGGCTGCGTATGTGAGGGTGCGTGGGACGCGGGTGGCGCTGTGGGTTAAACCACTGAGCCTAGGGCTTGCCGATCAGAAGGTCGGTGGTTCGAATCCCCGCGATGGGGTGAGCGCCCGTTGCTCAGTCCCTGCTCCTGCCAACCTAGCAGTTCAAAAGCACGTCAAAGTGCAAGTAGATAAATAGGTACCGCTCCGGCAGGAAGGTAAACGGCATTTCCATGCGCTGCTCTGGTTCGCCAGAAGCGGCTTAGTCATGCTGGCCACATGACCCAGAAGCTGTATGCCGGCTCCCTCAGCCAGTAAAGCGAGATGAGCGCCGCAACCCCAGAGATGGCCACGACTGGACCTAATGGTTGGGGGTCCCTTTACCTTTACTATATGAGGGTGCAGCACGACTACAGAAAAAAACCAGGTATAGGTAAAGGGCCCTGGACAGTTAAGTCCAGTCAAACACAACTATGGGGTGTGGCGCTCATCTCAATTTTCAGACCGAGGGAGCCGGTGTTTATCCACAGACAGTTTTCCACGTTGTGTGGCCAGCAAGACTAAGCTGCTTCTGGTGCAACAGGACACTGTGATGGAAACCAGAGCGCACAGAAACGGCGTTTACCTTCCCGCTACAATGGTACCTACTTATCTGCTCACACTGGTGTGCTTTCAAGCTGCTAGGCAGGCAGGAGCTGGGACACAGCAACAGGAGCTCACTCCACCGCGGGGATTCAAACAGCCGACCTTCCGATCAGCAAGCCCGAGAGGCTCGGTGGTTTAGACCACAGCGCCACCCGTGTCCATCTTGTACCATCGCTTGCCGAGTTGCAGAAATCGCAAATTTAATTCCCATAACCCTAGAGCAGCCTTTCTCAACCTGTGGGTCCCCAGATGTTGTTGGACTACAACTCCCACCATTCCTGAGCTCTGGCCTTGCTAGCTAGGGGTGATGGGAGTTGTAGTTCAACAACATCTGGGGACCCACAGGTTGAGAAAGGCTGCCCTAGAAGCTCAGAGACGTCCAATGAAGCTGAACGCTGGAAGATTCAGAATAGACAAAAGAAGGCATTTCTCTGCACAGCTAACCTGTGGAATTCATTCGCACAAGATGTAGTGATCGACACCAACTTGGACGGCTTGGACGGCTAATCCACAGCTGTGAGCCATGATGGTCAGAGGCAGCTATGCTTCCAAAGGCCAGCTGATAGAAAGCGCAGAAGGGGAGAGGGATATTCCCACAGGAGTCTGGTTGGCCAAAGGATGTTAGACCAGGTGGGCCACTGACCTGTTGCAGCAGAGCTCTTACTATGTTCTTACTGTAGCTCAGGCATGTCCAACAGGTAGATGGTGATCACTGGCAGTTTTTTTTAATACTGTGAGTCTATTGTGAGTGGGACGTCCCTGCTGTAGCTAAACCAAAGTACCTGTAACTGAAACAATCCCATTTCAGGGAAGGGGTACGTAGGGTACATTCTACCATTCTTCCTCGGGTATATTTTAAGATTGCTAGCCCTTTGCAGTAGGGACTTTAGTAAAGCATCATATACATGGCACAATATAAATAGAATCTTACGAGTTGGAAGGGACCCTAAGGATCATCTTGCCCAATCGCCTGCAATGCACGACTCTGCAGCTGCCCCACACGGGGATGGAACCTGCAACCTTGGTGTTATCAGCACCACGCTCTAACCAGCTGAGCTATCCAGGCACTGTAACAACAGCAGCATCTATGAGTCTTAAGTATTTGTTTTGCAAGCTTGGGAGCAACCTGCATTTTCATGGTTTGAAGCAGAGGCCATGCCTATAAATGCTGAATTTTTCAACAGGGGGAAAGGGGGGGGGCTTTCTTTGATATGCCATAGCAGGGGTGGCGAAGCGGTGTTTCATTGGTCTCATTTGTGCCCCAGAATAATTTTATCTGGTTTCCTTAGGTCATTTTATAGAATATTAAATGTGGTGGGGGAAGGAGCGAGATGCCAACATATTTTAAACGCCAATGAAATGAAATTCTGGTGGAGGCCACTTGTTCCATGTCTCAAGTTATTGATTAATTAGCAGGGGAAGCAGTCAAAGTTCTAGGCACAACAATATGTTAATCAATTATAAACTAGTGAGTTGGGGAAGTGGTTATAAGGGTTTGATGAGGCCCTAAGCTACTGGAGGTAATGGGGCCCTTTATATGTCCAGCTGTCATAGAAAACGGGAGATACGTAGCCATTCCAGCAACATATCTCTATTTCCTCGCACCCAGAAATGCAAGAAGGGCTTTAACTCTTGCTAGAAGCTCAGCCATGCCCTCATCAGAACTGGAAGGTTCCTATGGAAAAGTCCTGTATACACAGAGACTTTGCACCTGCCTGTTAGGGGAAATAGGAAGCCCCGAACATATATATTTTTAGACGTCCTTTTTATGCTGAGATTCATAGAGACACCATTGACCCTTTGCTGAAGAGGCTCGCCGATCTTTCAGAAAAGTCTAAACTTAATTCTCTCCTCTTGGACAAAGATCACAAGATGGCCTGGCTGGTAGCCAGATTCTGCGCCCAGATTTGTAGGCACAGATCATCCTCTAGAATAAAATAGCTTATTAGGGAAAAGCTGAAGTCGTCCTTTGGGGTGCCTCAGGGTCAATTTTTATGGTAGCCCAAATCTCAGTTGTACGGGTGTATGCATATATCTCAATTTTAACACATGAGCTATTACTGCAATCTGCTCTAATTGTATATTTTATCTTTATGAACGCTGTTTTTATTGTGTTATGTGAGCTGGTCTTTGACCGTAATAATTTATCTCTCTATATTAAGTACGGCTTTGAAATCAAGATTCAGGTCGCTATTATACAAGGGGAGGTTACTGCCATAAATTGCTCTGAAAAAAAAAATCCATTGCCAGAATGTAAAAACCTCCAAATGTCCTTTGGAAAGTTCCAACAGCAATGCGGGAACCGATTGTGCCTTTTTATTTTTAGTCTGCCTTGAGTTCCATCTCTCTTAGCTGCCCGCTTTAAGATGCAGGTATTATGGAAGAGAGAAGTCTCTTTGTTTTCTAAATCACGAATTTGGTGCACATCTGCAAACCTTTGCTGCGTAGGCCGTTTAAAAACAAATCAAAGTAAAAAAGAATAAGAAGTTTTCTTTTGAATCACGCTAGTTCAGAGGGACCTGCAGCCAAGTTTATTCATTTACAGCTTGGGAACAGGAGCAATGGAAACTTTGTTGCTAACAGAAACACAAGCTGCTTTCTGAAGAGCGCTTAGGTGACTGGGGACAAAACCCAGCTGGCCTGCTGGAATTAATCGGTCGAGAAAGATCTATAGCAGAAATCTGTATCAAATCCAATTTATTGAAGAGATGCCGTTAGTACATAGACAATTCAAACAGGAGAATTTGAGCTAGGTTGAAGGTTTTTAGAACCCGTCAACCAAGAAGAAGATTTTGGAGCTTATTTGCCACTCGGCTTTTAATGGAACTAATTAACTAATGCTTTGAAGTTTTGCACTGCAATGCCTCAGTGAAGAAGCTGTGAATCAATCGGAGTTTTCCAATATTTTTTTTTTAAAAAAAAATATTTTTATTGGTTTTTTCCAGATACAAGTAATAGAAAAAGAAAAAGAAAAAGAAAGAAAAGAAAAGAAAAGAAAACCATCTTTCCAAGATATTTTCTCATAACCAACTGGACTTCCCCACATCTCCCTCACCCTGCATTCTTTACAATAAAGATATCAGCAAATTATTACCTTGTTTCATCCATTCCTTTGTACTTTCCAATAGTTATACTTTATGTTTAAGATACTTATTATCTGATTACTTTACCTTAAAATAAAAATGATGTTACTTTAAACACTGGTCCTTTCATAATTATAAACTTAATTTCCATATCACCGAATCTTGTTGCTGAAGCTAAATTTTCTAAGTCATGCAAACTCTTAACATTCATATAACTTATAATATTTTTTGTAGATAGTCTTTAATTTTTTTCCAATCCTCTTCAATTGTTCCTTCTCCCAAATCTCGGATTCTGCCAGTCATTTTGGCCAATTCCATGTAGTCCATCAATTGCGTCTGCCACTCTTCCAGTGTGGGCAAATCTTGTGTCTTCCAATATTTTGCAATTAGTATTCTTGCTGCTGTTGTTGCATACATATAAAAAGTTCTGTCGTTCTTTAGCACCTTCTGGCCGTCGATGCCCAGGAGAAAGGCCTCTGGTTTCTTAGGAAAGGTGTATTTAAGCACCTTTTTTAACTCATTATGAATCATTTCCCAGAAGACCTTCACTTTTGGGCAGGTCCACCAGAGGTGAAAGAATGTCCCTTCAGCCTCCTTACATTTCCAACATTTATTATCAGACAAATGATATATCTTAGCAAGTTTTCCAATAAACCCCCCTGAAAGGTGATTTCCCTGGACACAGTCTGAAAGGCAACTCTAGACAGATTCGTCAATTGCTACAGGGGTTGCACCTCAAATAACGCTGGTCCTTAGATCCCAATTTGACAGCAATTACCTCTACGTTCTGCTCTGAATTACTGACAGGCATCCATTAGAGGAGGCTAAGCACCTTCAAATATATTTAGCCATGATATAAAGCCAACAGAAGGTACTCCTCCCAACAAATTAATTTACCTGTCTCCAGTTAATGAGCAACCTGTGGAACAGGATTGCTCTCCCGTTGCAGGGGGAGGAACAAATGAAATATGATACAAGTGTCATCTGGCCCCGGTACAATCTAATTAGCCATTACTTATTCTCTCCCGAACTCTGTCCT